AAATATCTAAGACTTAAAGAGCAATGCATTTGGGGAGCAGCAGATGGACTCAAAGTAGAGATATAGTCTTCAGAAGACTGGCTCAAACAAGAGATCTTCTACAATGGATGGAAGGCCCATACTACTTGTGTGAATGGGATGTATGTCTTTGCACCAGATGGGAGGATCTGAATTGGAACCTTCAATTTCCCAGGCAAGTGGCATGTTAGCACCATTAGTGACTATGGAGTGTAGCATGACAAGATGGCTTGAGTACACAAGGACTATGCTGGAGGAACAAATGTTGTTGCTGATTCAGCTTTTGGCTTACTATAMAGGAATTTTCTTATTCAGAGTTCACAGACAGATCCTGAGGATGAGGACAGTCTCATCTTGAATAGGGACACCACATCACTAAGACAGATGTCTGAGTGGGGGGTGAGGATGACCCAAGGACAAGTCCCAAGGATGAAAGATAGGCTTAGGTTGGAGGATTATGAAGAGAGGAAGATCATTCTCCACTTGCTGATCAACTTGTACAACTACTGGTGTAGTACCACAGGACACAATCAGATCTTGACAGTCTTCATGAAGATGCCACTGGCGATACACAAGGCAATGGGAGAGCCACATCACCTTGAGAACTTGGCTCCTGGATACTTCCATGTAGGGAGGAATGTATCTCCAGTTGAAAATAATGCATTCTTTGGATGAATCCCATTGCTGTGATGGTKGAGTGGTTCATCATGGTGGATATTGATAGTTTAGAAACAGCTTGCAAGTGCGATCATGATAGCCAGCAATGTTGCAAGAATGATTTAAAGCAACACAACAACACAACAATTCAACACCACATCATTGGATCAATACTTACATTGGCAGTGTCCTCAGCATCTGCCATGGTAGAGCAAGGGATGATGAGTTTCAATAAGGCCTGTTTAAAGCACTTTGCTGTAAGCACTGCTTTKTATCCACTGTTCTTCCTACGTGTGAAATAGTGARCAAACAGCTTGGAGCACAAAGCTGGAGCACAGTAKGCATAAAACCTTGTTGTTCTCTGTTTTCTTCATAGTAGTTCTCTATTTTCTTCATAGTAGTACTGGCCTTTCAGGGATTAGAACTGGGTGAGAACTCCTTGCCTACCTCTTAAGCATGCGTGTAACTCATTGCAAACCTCTAAAGCACGTGTCTTACTCCCATGAACTGGGTTCGCTTCCTGTAACAACAACATCTGTCACACGCATTGATCGGCACTCACACGCATTGGTTGGCACTCTGRTATACCACATATCTTCATTACAGAATATATTGAGATATTTCATTGCTTTGACTCAACTCTTAAAATATATATCTTCATCACAGTATATTTCTAGATGTGGAAAGGGTATGCATGAAAACCAATATGGAATAACATGGTGTAAAGGGGGGGGGGGAATAATTCAGCTTCAGTATGGTGTTTTGCTCACCCTTTTTCATTAAACTTCTGATCTAAGTTGTAATCATAAATAGAAACWAATTGGAATCACTATGGGATTGGAACTAACCGCTATCACCATGGGATTTGCTGCAACAGCGCTTGTTGGTACCAAGTGCCATTGCCATGGTTGAATGATTGGTGAGCTAAGGTGAGCCAATAATCCTCTCTCTCTCTCTTCAGCCCTCTTATCTCTTGCATCCTCCATCTCATCAGCCTTCCTGCCTCTTTCAGCTTCCCTCTTGTTCTGCTGCAGGAGATACTCCTCAAGAACAGCATCCTGTTCARCAATTTCCTTCTTCAGCCTTCCATAGGATCTCTTTTTTGCTTGACCAACATTGGCCACAATGGCCAGATCCTCATTGACGTTTTTCCTCTCCAGTTCCAAGATTTGCCTTGATTCCATTCAAGCAATGGGCCTCTCTTGCAAGCTGGGCCAACTTTGGGACCKTGGGATTCCCAGTAGGCACCTTCTGTCTCCTCAGGCAATTGAACTTGCAACACAGCAATCAAATTACTGTCAGTCTGAAAAAAGAGTTTGTCATCTTCAMTAAGTACTAAATTCAATCTTGCCCTGCGTTCAAYGCATGTGCCCTCCTGAACAACGTGAATAAGATCATGGCAACAAATTAATGGGACAACAATATCATTCTTATTCACAGCTTCATCTCTTGCTGACTTCAAGACTTCCATCATAGATGTATATGGCAAACTTTATGAAGCAGTTWAAAAWACTAAAAATCACAGGTTATTCATTGCTGCTCAGTGAACAACTTTGATTGGAGAAATCAATATTTTGGCTCACCTGTAAGAATTTTTTTAATGGAATCCTTTGTTCTACCATAGGGATAGCTCTGACCATGCTGGTGAACCACTGCAAGCCAGTCACCCTTACCAATGGAGAGAATCTTCTTGATGAGGGTCAAGCTCCTCTTTCATGTAGTTTGCAGTACTGGCCTTACGACCTGACCAATCTACTTTTTGTTACCCTCCCTGGGGAGGGACTGGGGCCATAAAAGAGATTGGAACCACCAGGGGAGGCAAGCGCTCCCTGTTACAAGGAAAAATAGTAGTAGAAGAACCAGTCATCTTTGCTCACAGAATGAATATTGTGAGAGGAATCCCCCCCCCCCCCTTTGTCTCAAGGTGTGGTGTTTGAGACAAGACCCTCTGCAGTTGTGCCTTTCTTTTTTTCAATCTAAGATATAGAATCATAGTGATTAAGACAGGGGACATTGCTTTTGTTTGTCTCTTTACAATGACACCAGCACTGTCTCCTTTAAGAGACATTTGCATTGAAATCTCAGACATGTCCTTCTCATGCCCACCTATTTCCAGCAGATATGGAAGCCTTCKTATTGAAGACTCCTACCTCTATGCTTTCATATTACCATCGYGTCTATGAGAAAACGATTCTGGTGAGTGTCTCCCAAGCTACAAGTGCTTCGGTCTCCAACACCTGCCCAATTACCCAGTACTTTACATCATTGCCACATAGTAAGCAAC